ACCATTTGTGTTAGGGTGCTGAGAGCCAACGCCTCGTCAATCTTCAAACGCTTCGCCCTCGTTAAGACTGGATTACCAGCAGGAGGGGGCGTGACAAGTTTTGGATACTTGGTCTCAAGAGCAGGCAGACAAAGAAAACCCATTGGTGGAGTCTCCGTCTCCGTACTGAGAAAAGGCGTTCAGGTAAGACCAACGCCCCCTCTCTAAGTTGGTGTGATAGTGGATGGAAATTAATCAAAGAAAGAACCAACCTAGAACTAAGAAGAAATTTCCTGACAGGGAAAACAATCGGTAGAATGACTTGCCTCCAGAAGTTGTGGGTGCTCTAACAGTGGAGGTTTTTAAAAAGAGATTGGGCAGCGATTTGTCTGAAATGGTATGGGGCTTCCTGCTTGAGCAGGGGGTTGGACTAGAAGACCTCCAAGGTCCCTCCCAACTCTGTTATTCTGACCCTGATAAAAACAGATCTGTTATCATTCATTGCTTTTGTTGTGGCTCCGAACAGCTTTCTCTTATTTTTGCTCATGGTTAATACTGCTGCATAATTCAATTTGGAAAGAATCTGGTCTTTAAAAGCTATAGTTAGATTTAGTTTGCTGCCAAGATTTGCTTATACTTGAATCTCTGGTTCCATAAAAATTCCAAAGGTTTTAGTTTGCCCACTTCATATATTCCAAAACCCAAATAGTTTCCTCCCTGCTCTTTTAAAGTGGTAAAATCAATATATCCTAAAACGGCATTTCAAAACTAGATTTCTCAAACTGGGCTTGCTAAAAGCTTACTGTGGTATTTCCAGCTTTATGTAAACTAAAAAAATGCACATAATGCATCATTCCTTTCCTGAGAAAAAAATACTGATAGATATCTTACATTGAATTTTTTCATAGTTATAAAAATACACTTTTACTCTTATTATAATGCTGTATATTGAAGAGGCAATACAGCACTATTAGAAAAGCAATTGAAATTACATATACATGGGTGAGTATGCACATGCATAGTCATGAAATATTTTTCATTTAATCAATTATTTTTTGTGGCAATAAATCAAAACCCAAATTTGTAAGAAGTAATGAAAATATCCCAAGTTCCTTTACTTTCACTCCTAAAGAATCCTTCAGAGAATTAAATTGCCAGCCTCCAATAAAACCAGTATCAAACTGGAGAGCCAGTTTAGTCTAGTATTTAAGACACCAGGGTAGAAATTGGGAGACCATGAGTTCAAGTCCTGCCTTAGCCATGAAAGCCAACTGGGTGGCTTTAGACCAGTCACTCTCTCTCTGCCCAACCCATCTCACAGAGTTGTTGTAGTAGGGAAAACGGGAGAAAGAAGGTGTATTAGATATGTTCACCACCTTGAGTTATTTGTAAAAATAATAAAAGTGGGGTGCAAATAAATAAAATCAGTTCAGATATCTGGAGGCATATTACATTGCAACAACTAAATTAGACTGCTAAAAAAGTGGGTGGGTGGAGGGGAGGAATATAGTACTTTATATATTCTCATTCGGCATCCCTCTGACAATTTTTTCTTCATCCTTTTCTGTTGTTCCTAATGGCCTCATACAGTATTTTTTGGATGAGTAATGCATATCTAGTTGCACTGGTCTCATTCAGTATGAGTTTTGATCATCCCTTTCTTGCTGCACGCACAGTTTCTTCCACAGTACTGTTTTTGCTCTCTTTCCAGCAGTGTTCTCTTCCTGGAGCAGCTGGTAAAGAATAATTGAGTAAAACTGTAATATGCTTTTCTTATAAAACATACATAATTGAAGAAGTAACATACATTAAAAGTCTCAAAAGTTACTTAATGTAGAGTCTCAATGTTCCTAGCTTTAAAACTGAGTTTAAGCATGCTGATTACATTTTAAGCTTGCTACCCTTAAAAATAGCATTTGTAATAAAATATCATGGACTTTATCACTGTACTGGCCATATGTGGGGATGAATTTGATGGTGATATTCTTCTTGCTACATATAGTTTACTTGCCTGTGACTTAGGTCAGTGTTCTCAATTTGAGAGAGTCTTGCCTTCATTTGTCTACAGTTTGGTGTAGAAGTTAAAGACATCACACTAGAAACTGGGAGACAGAGAGTTCTGGTCCTGCCTTAGGCATGAAGCCAACTGAATGACTTTGGGCAAGTCATTGACTCTCAGCCCTAGGAAGAAGGCCGTGGTAAATGTTTTCTGAAAATCTTTCCAAGAAAACTACAGAAAACTAGCGCAAGCAGTCTCCAGAAGTCAGTGCTGACTCAAGATACGTACACGCACATAGACACACATTCATGGACTGCAGAGTCTAGAATTCCAAGATAGGATGGCTATTTGTGAGAATTCTGGATGTTAAAGGACACACTATCTGCAGGACTGGAAAAAGATGCAAAGGGTAATAAGTTCTAATCTCTGAGCCAGGGTTTTTTTGGGGGGGGCAGGGCAAAGGGGGTATATTTTATGTAGTTACCATAGATCCATATTGTAGTAAGTTTTAGAAAACAGATCAATGTAGGCTTGAAAGCTTTGCTTCATATGTCAAAGATGGAATGTGATTAGAGATATAAGACAGATATATGCAGATTCCATTTTACTTTACCTATTGATATCTCCTTTTCCTTAATTGTATGCAACTATATGCATGAAGGGGAAGGAGGTGGCAATCACTCATGGAAAGAAAAGGAATATATTCTGTTTATACTTAGGAATACAGGAGTGCCAAGTCTGGACAGAATTTGCTGGTTCCTCTGTGTGTGGCAAAAGGTTTTTAACTTCTATGCTAACAAAAGCTTTTAGTAAAACATCTGTTAACGATAAATATAAGAAAAGAGAAGAAAACTTTAAGTACTGCAAGGGACACAAAACAGCCATAATCATGAATGATGATGTGATACTTTCATCACATATAAAAATAATATGTAAATATTAGGTAAAAGTAATCACATATAATATTTTAGTGATATTTTCTTATGTTGAAAAATGCTGGGTAGTTTTCAATTTATGACCAATCATGTAATGACAGTTCAAAGTTGTGACAGTCTCTGACAAAGTAGCCTCATTACCCCTATCAGGCCTTTGGCAGTCAGCACACAATTACGATCAGTTGTAGTGTCCTGTGATCACAAGTTCACGATTTGCAACCTGTTTTGGGCAATTTCTGGCAAAAATGTCCATTGGGAAAGCTGGATTCACTTAATGACCATGTAAAATTGGTTGTAACATTTGGTCCAACAAGTTATGATGGAAATTCCACTCCCAACTTTGGTTGTAATTCGAGGACTACATGTACATATAAAACAATATTGGGCAATCTCTATAAATAATAAAGAAATGAAATGAATGCTACAATTGTAAACTCCTTATATAAAGGAGTTCTTTCTGGCTTTTCCTATAGTCAGTAATACAGTTAGCTAGGCCAGATCCAGAAGAGAAAAATACATGCACTCCAGTCTAGTAGATTTTCTGCTCCTGCTCAACTGTTGACTTGCAATGGTTTGAACAATATTGTATCTTCAATATGTGGGTTAGTTAAATATGTGTTGTTAAAGCAGCCCCTAAATTTCTAATTCTCAGTATATTGTCGTTAAGCTATCAAATTACAAATGAATTAATAAAGAAATAAAAATCTTAGTTGCTGTGGGATGCCTAACTTTTTTTGTTTTTGTTTTTGCTCTTGAAATTGAATCACTTTTAGTACTAGATCCCATTCAGCAACATCATTACAACATTTAAAAACTACAAATTGAATTTCTAAATGCTTGATTGAAGGAATTTATGAATGTATCGGTTGGATGGATAATATGTATGCTGCATCTTCTTTCCTTTTCTCATTTGAGAGCATTTATATTTATTTCTAATTATAATTTCTGTTCTTATTAAATACAGGACAGCACAATTATCTCTGTGCTGGAAGAAATGATTGTATTATTGATAAAATTCGGAGAAAGAACTGCCCTGCTTGTCGCTACCGGAAATGTCTTCAAGCTGGGATGAACCTTGAAGGTAAATTCTAATACTTTCTTTTGTTACTGTTCAGATAGGAGTAGGATTGTAGGCATTGTTCTCTTTCTACTTGAATTTTTAAATCAGGTACATGCTGCGTACATTGCTTTAGTCGTATCTGTTGCTGTTTATGAATTCTTCACCAAAGTCCACTTATATAATTTATATGTATTGGGTTTTCATAGTTCAGACATTCATGCATCATATGTTGAACTTTAGGATACTGCATATTTGTCAAACGTAGGTACAGTATCATTAGTCTTTAGCCCCTATTCAGATTTAACAACTGTTTCCAAGAATAATACATGAAGGTGCTTAACCTAATGACTGCAGTGATCGAATGTTTAGAATGTATATTTATTACTACTTATATTAGTCATATGTCTACATTCTTGATAGAACTGGATATTTTTTCTGCATTCATAATCTAAACCTTTCGTCTCCATATTGTGTACTGAGTTCTCTTTCTATGCTAAACAATTGTAGCCTGATTTTCTGTGTATGTAAATTGCTAATGTTAAGGATGTGCACCAGCTACGAGCTTCAGACATTATTTAGTGATTTAAGAAATAGCTTAATTCAACAAAACCTAATTGAAAGACCCCAAATTCAGCTTAAGAGTAAAGTCGTACAACAGCCTCTTTGTTATTATTAATTGAATTACAGAAACAACAGCTACTTTTATGAGGGGATGATAGATAGGTTAATGGATGGTTGTTTTAACTGTTTCAGTTTGGGTTTCCTGTAAAAGAGAACTGCAGATAACAGATCTAGATTATCACTGACTGGTCTGTAAGTTACCTTGTTTTGAGAAAGTTGTTGAAAAAATGGCTTAGACTATAGTTACAGTTATGGATGAAAGAGATTACCTGGATCCCTTTCAATTAGATTTCAAGGCTAGTGTTGGATTGATGCCACATTGGTGACTCCTGTTGAGGAGTTTTGGCTGAATTAGGATACGGAGTCTTTTGGACTTATTTATTTATTATTTTATTTATTTTATTTTTAACATTTATACCCCGCCCTTCTCCCGAGGGACTCAGGGCGGCTTACAGGTAAATAAAAACAGTACAATACAATAAATATCTCTAAAAGCCAAATTAAAATATATATTAAGTAACCTGTATTAAATTTAATATTATAAAATCCCTTTAAAATCCCTATAAAATCCCCCCCTAGGCCAATCCCGCTTGATGGAAAAGCCATGTCTTGAGGGCACGGCGGAAGGAGGGGAGATCCGGAATAATCCGGATCTCTGGGGGGAGTTCGTTCCACAGGGTGGGGGCTCCCACAGAGAAGGCCCTCCCCCTGGGGGT